GCTCATAGGGGGTCATATGATTGTTGGGATTGTTGTATTATTGTACGATCTACTGTACAATATAAAGCACCTTGAGGCGACTTTTGTTGTGATTTGGCGCTATATAAATAAAATTGAACTGAATCGACGTTATTGCTCCCATAATTACATTAACCGCAGAAACTTGGACCATAGATCCGGTTCAGGGATGCCAAACGTGGCACATGTGTCACCATCCAGTCAAGAGGCCCGACTTTCTTCTTTTTATCAGGTTATAAATGTGGTTTTTATGCTCTAAAGTTTAACATGGGAGTCTGTGGGGGCTGATCCACACTTGGAACCAGACTATAGAATAGAATAGAATAGAATAGAATAAAACTGTGGACACTCCACACCAACTGTGTGTTGACAAAATATGTCAATTAGAGGAACTGCAACCTTCGTCAGACAGCTTGAACATATTAAGTTTTCATTGTTTTACTGGCCAACTTTCTTAAAGGCTCCTGGCTGAGTCTGTGTGAAAGCTGAGAGTTTGTGGAGCCGTTAAGACGCAGTTAAACGGATCTCAGATATATTCAGTCAAAAATAAAACCCCTGCTAATGTCATCACACGTGAGCAGTGAAACAAAGACACCCCGACTGAACTCTGAAATCAGTGAGCGATGCAGATCCAGGAGTTTATGATCCTCCACCTTCACCTGGCCCTCCATCCTCCACCTTTAAAAGCAAAAGGCAGCTTAAAGTTTGGTGACTTAAAGGTCGGTGTGAGGTTTTATTCAGCGTGGGGGGCGTGGTCTTCTCACGGTGTAAAACATACGCGCACGTGGCATCTTTGTGATAAGTGTGCAGGAGCGAGGTTGTTTTAGACTCAGCATCTGTGCACGCTGTCGTCTTCATTCTGCCTCCACCACAGGGGGCAGAAGATGATGCCTGTGACGAAATAAGGAAACTAAGGAGATATGAAGGCGACAGAGACGAGAGGCTGCAGCCCACCGGGGAGAGGGGTCCCTCATTTCCACCCACTTAGATTATCATAAGTTTTTAGGAAAGGAAAGGTGAAGCACATCGCCAGCTCCTCCTCCTTTCAGTGAAGGTCAAAAGGTTATCTGCAGTCGGCCCGCCAGAGGGATCAGAGTGACCTGTGACATAACCACCTCCAACTTAAGCCCACTGATCACCACTGCCTCTTTGCCTTGTGCTTTGTTCTGTTACTATCATAAAAATATTCTTGTATTTTCCACACTTGGTCTTCAAAATGAAAAGCGTCCACGTTTTTCAGCCTCAAGCTGATTTCATCGGGCTGGAGATTAAATATCGATGTCTCAGGCTTTGATTCTGTAACCCACAGATCCATCAGAGTAATGTAAATTTCATATAATAATTATTAAGTACATCAAATCAACAACTTTTGCCTGCAAAACTGATATTTTTTGCCAGCTTCTAATATTTTTCCTCCTCCTCAGTAAGTCTCAGTATTTTGCAGGTGCACCTCCCCTCTCTGTTTCTAGCTGATATACATTCTTGTGTCATAAACTGATGGAGCGGGTCACCCGGAGCGCTCGCTTTGGCGTCGAGCCTGCATCTTCTGGTCCAGCAGAGGAGGAGAGTGTCAGACCTCAGCAGCTCTGATGAGATTCAGAGCCATCGCTGTTAATTACCTTCTGCTGCTAACAGGACACTCACTGAGACCGAGCTCATTCTGCACGAGTTCCACTTTATTCTGCAGCTTGTAGAACCTCCTTCAGCACCAATGGTTCCTGTGTGACTTTATTAGTCTGTCTCATCACTGTGGAGGAGTTTTGGTTGCTTCAGCTCGTTGAGGTTTGCTGCATCCATTCATGCACAGCTCTCTGAGCTCTGCAGCAGCTCCATGCTTCTCTTCTTCAGTCGTTCTGTTGCAGATCTGCTGCTGTGCTGGGATCTTTGTCCTGTTGATGACTCGGTTTGGTCCAAGCTTCAGCTGTGGGACACAGTGACACCCTGACTCTACAGAGGAGCTCATGGTCCACTCAGAAACCCTTTACCATGACCTCAAGTCTTAGAAAGAGAAAGCTGATTTTTTGGCATCTGAACAACAAACTGTTTTGCTATTGAGCTTTTGAATTGCTTTAAACTGAATAAGGACACAGCAGCTGAAGGCCTTGTGTACTCTTTCGTTCAAATATACAACACATCTCCTCATATTCCTAAAAGTGTTTATGTGCGCCTCTGGAAAAAGTCAGCGTGAAAGCGAGATAACAGGATTAATAAAATAAAATGAGAGGAAATAAAACGTGAACTAACTTTGCAGCAGAGCCGATCTATAAGATGGATTTTGAGGAGAGATTTAAAAGCGCCCACGTAGCCAGGAGATATAAAGCTAAAGTGAAATCTTCCATCAAACGGGATGAATTATCTATCTGCAACGTCGAGCCTCTCAGTTTACTGTCAGAGCGTAATGATGTGAAGGGAAACCAGCACCTGCTGGGGAGCACCGAGATGGATCTGAAAGCCGCTGCTATGATTAAAAACTCAGCAGAGATTCAAAGTGCGGCTGCTTTGCAGTAAATGGGCTAAAACGTGTTGATTCAGAGAAACCTCTGCTGTGGTTTCACTAACGGAGGCTCCGCTCAGAGGCTCCTCACACTGGAGCTAATTAGCAGAGAAAGGAGGGGACATTAGACGCGGTTACACACCGCGGGAAATCATTTCACAGCTCCCGCAGCGGCCCTGAGGGGGAAACGGTCAATGTAGAGAAAAATGTATACACGAGGAGGGATTACATGTAATTACATTAGGCCGTAAATTATGCAGCCAGCTCTTTACTGCTTTATAGCGAGAAATCGCTCTGTTCTAACTTTGTTTAAATCATTCAGGGACATGTTCTTCAGACTGAAACCAGAACACTCGCTCCCAGAGATCATTTTTAAAGGCTCTGGCTGTACGTAGATATTAAAATCCTGTTATTACCAGCTTCTGTCAAATCATTCAAATCAAGATTTGTGCAGGGTTTCAAAGCCACTGCAGCTGTTTTATCATCTCATCTAAAAAACACAGAAGCTCCAATAATGGTGCAGTGAAGTGAGTTTATTCTTACAGGACAGGGCGCAGACCATCAAACAGCAGCAGAAAAGATAAATTAATAAATAACTCACTAATAATTGAGAATAATAATCAGGTGAGGAAGAGCGAAGAATAGAGATGAAAAATATTCTTAAAACCAATTATTTAATGCGTCTAATGTTTGTTTTGTTCTTGAATTTCTGAGTTCGTTCTCATAAATTTGTAGATTTTGTTTTCCTTCTAATAAAATTATTGTAGGTTTTCTTGTAAACTGACCATTTTCCTCATAAATGTGTAATTTATTTTAACAAATCTCATAATTTTACTCTCTCTCATACATTTAAACATTTTCCTTATAAATTTGCCGGCTTTTATGTTAGAAAGGTTTCATATCAATTTCCTTTTCATCCTCTAATTTTAGTTTTCTTTTTTTTTCTGTTTTATTTCTTGGTTTGCACGTTTCTCCACACAATAATTTACATTTTCTCATAAATTTGCAAATTTTTCCTCGTAACATTTTCATATTCTCCTAAATTCTTATAAAGAGGGGAAAGAATGAGAGTGTTGTGCTGAACATTTGTTTGAATACACACAGCAGTTTAAAAACTGATGAAATGTATTTATTGGTTAAAAAATCTGTAAAACTGTAAATAAATTTGATTAAATTTAAGGTTTTTTTTCTTTTTAGCTTTCACTTTGGAAGCTGCTTTTAAGTTGAAAGTGCTACACCCGGAAATTGCTTGTCACGGCGTCGGAAGTCGAGACTTCTATTTATTTATTCATTTTAAAAGAACTTTATTGAACACACGATGAGTATACAACATACGGAGACTTCAATTTTTCATCTCTTCGCTGTTTTCACTCTTATTTTCAAAGTCTTGAATTTGGCCCCTCGTGAAACACAAGCGCTTATATTTGGACCAATGACTGTTGGACTTTTTAAAAGTTAAAATCTTTAAAAGCTGTGAAAAATGTAAACTAACGGCGTATATAAATAGTTATATATTATAATATAAAATATTTATAGTATTGATAAAATAATGGCTTCGTTTTATCGTGTAATTTCGTGTATCGTGTAATTTATAGTTCAGTGACACACTTCCCGTGTCTATATTTTCATTTGACTCCAGTCGGTGGTATTTTGGTGAGGGACCTCCCACGCTGAAATCCACTTCCGGTCGGCGTATTTTTTTTTTTTTTTTTTTAAAGATGGCCTCACGCGCTCAGGAGGTGTCTCTGCTCGGGCTGTGTGACGGAGAGATCGACTCCAAGAAGCACCGGTGCTCCTATCTGACCAACAAAGTAGGGGGTCGGCCGGACTGGCCGCCCGGCATCGCTGCCCGGTCACCGCGATGCGGCCGCTGCAGAGTCCCGCTAGTCCACGTGGTTCAGGTGTACTGCCCCGTGGACACGTCTCCGCACCACAGGAACCTCCACGTCTTCGCGTGCCCGGGAGCTGAGTGCAGCGGTCGGTCAGAGTGCTGGGCGGTGCTCCGCTCACAGTGCCTGGAGGCAGAGGTGCGGACACCCGGGCCGCCTGCACCGGCTCAGGAGGCTCCTATGCGGGTCACTGACTGGTGTGACACCGCTGACGACTGGGGGATGGTGGGAGAGGAAGATAATGATGGATGGGGAGGAGGTGCGAAGCAGAACACACCTGTGAAGGAGGAGACAGGAGCTCCAGAGGCAGCAGGTAGGGCTGGACCTTTTTTTTTCTCTTAAATTTGAAAGTTTTATTCTAAAGGATGCCATATTTTATATATAGATTATAAATCCATAGCCATTTTTTCATTAATTTAAAGTTTTTCTCCTCGTTCCTTTGAGGTTCTTATAAATTTGAAGATCTTTTCTCGTTACACTACAAAGGACCAAGGATAGAGGTCGTCTTTCAGCGCTACTTCTTAACAGTTCATCTCAGGGTGGTTCAAACATGGCTTCTTAGAGGAGCCCTGCCCAGACGCAGAACAGCCACTATGCAATAAAATAGAGATTTCGGGCCTACCATTCACGGAAACATCACAGGACATGTATGCTTCAATAGCACCAACATCAGCTCCTCTGACAGCATAGTTAATAAAAATGACTGACTTCATTAATCCCATGCAAATCACACCTATGTGGAAGAACCCCGACATACTACAGAACAATAATGTGATTAACTTCCCAGATTGGAGTAGTAAAGGAATTAAATACTTGGAACATATATTAGAAGGAACAGACTGTCTTCCTTCTCTCACCCCAACCAATCACAGCAGATGGCCCCGCCCCTCCCTGAGCCTGGTTTCTGCTGGAGGTTTCTTCCTGTTAAAAGGGAGTTTTTCCTTCCCACTGTCGCCAAAGTGCTGCTCATAGGGGGTCATATGATTGTTGGGTTTTTCTCTGTATGCATTATTGTGCGATCTACTGTGCAATACAAAGTGCCACAGCTGTTGTTGTGATTTGGTGCAACTGAACTGAATTAAAAATCTCTTGTATTGTTAGTTCTGTGAGCTGCTCAGTTACATTTATTATTTGCTGTCATGTTAGCGTTTGCTGTGGTTTCTGTTTTTATTATTTTCCTTCCTCGGCAGGCGTCTCTCTCCATCCCTCTTCTCCTCTCTTCCTGTTAACCATCTCCCCATCTTCACCTTTATTTTTCCTTTTCCCCAGGCCTCTCCGTTATGGTTGTAATAATCCAAAATAAAGTGATTGTATGGAAGTCTGAGACAGTGAGCCTAATGCTCAGCTCATCTCTGAGCTCAGTACCTGCTTTGAGTTTATGGCGTCAGTCGCTGGTTTTAATAAATGATAAAGTGAAGCTCCTGTTAGAGTCACAGACTGAGCGCTGTAGTGCGAACTACCTTCTGACAGGCAGGTGAGGTCATCTTATGGTTCTTTTTCCCTGACAGGTGGTGAGACAGACGTCAGCAGCCGTCTTTGTGACCTCAGTCTGGGGGACTCGCAGGAGGATGTGACCGCCTTCTGTCCATTCTTCATCAGCGTGGTGGAGGAGACGGATGTGTGCGGGGAGGACGGCGACCTGGAGCACGCTCAGGAGCTGCTGAGGGAGTACGAGAGGCGAGAGGGCGTGGCGGTGGGGGAGTTAGAGGGAAGCGGAGGAGGCGGGGACGAGAAGTATGAGAAGACCGGAGCCCGACACGGAGACGCCGTCTTCTCCAGGTTCATGAAGACGATCTCGGCGTGTCCGCAGCAGATCCTGCGCTACTGCCGCGGCGGGAAGCCGCTCTTCATCTCTGAGCTGCCGTCCAATGTGGCGCAGCTGGTGCCAGCGTGTGGCATCTGCGGAGGCTCCCGGACGTTCGAGCTGCAGCTGATGCCCGCGCTGGTATGCCTGCTGCAGGGGGAGCGCGGCGGTGCAGGGGTGGAGCTGGAATTTGGGACGGTGCTAGTCTACACCTGCGCAGACAGCTGCTGGACGTCCGGGTCGGACTCGGCCGTGGAGGAATTCTGCTTCGTTCAAACCGACCCAGATCAGCAGCTCTTTGTGTGACGGACTAACCTGAAGCTCGCTGTCGCCATCATGGTGGGATCGCGGTTTATTTATACACGTCATGATGTCAGATCAAAAATCTGAGGCGAGCTCGTGTTAAAGGACCAACCAGCAGCTTTTGTTACTTCAAGGCTTTAAAGGTATGAAAATATAGATGTGCCTTAGTCGTCGGGCCTGAGCAGAGCGTTGCAGCTGCTTAAGGCCACACGAGGGCGGGACACTGAACCACAGCTGCTCTTATTGGTCCTTCAGACTTCACGGTGCTGAACACAGGAGCTCAACGTCACAGCTCCAAAGACGACGAGTGTTAGAAAAGATTAAAAGTCTCTGCTGCAGCTCGTTTGTTCGTCATCTTTTCTGTTTTAAATCTTTTACTGCTGCAAACACAGCAGCTGCTGTCTTCATGTGCGAGTCATTCTTTAACTCTGAGCAGCTTCTGGTTGTTCCTGTAGAGAGGAATATTACCAACCGTGACCTCTGACCTCCCTGTGTAAGCGCACATGTTGGTCGTCGGGCTCTGAAATCCTCTGAAAGAAAAGACTCGGACACACAACAAGTTTGTTTTTCTTTTTACTTCAACCTTAAACATGTTTCTAGAACGCCGTGTCACACCACAACAGTTCGGTCGAGGAGCGTCAACGTTAAACCGGGCGAAGGAAATGTAAACGTGTAAAACAAAGCTATAAAAATGTAAATCAGCTGAAGGGTTTCAGGTTTGAGGATCAGATCCAGAGTATCAAAAATAGATTGTTTGTAATTTACTGGCCAATAAATAACAGAATTTTCTTATTTTACGTCTGACGTTACCGATTGTTAGAATTATTATAACAAAGTTCAATTTCAGCCCTTTAATCTTCCTCCGATTCGCTCATGAAAAGTTAAATCTTTGGTTTGTCTGTGAGGTACGAGTCGGTTTCCTGAGACAGACGAGGAAACGGTCGTCTGACGCTTTCAGGCACTTGAAGATCAGTTTGGAGCACTTTGTGCAAACAGCAGAAGAAAAACGACGTTCCTGAGAGCGCTGGTGCTACTGAGGGCCTCCGCAGAACGGTAAGGTGCCGGCGCCGGACTTTGGCTCCCAGTCGTACCGGTCGGGTTGGTCGCCGCCAACCAGGCCACCGATGTCCCTGTCGATGATCTCGTTCACTGCAAACAAAACAAACGTTGTGGTCTGTTTATTCCAGTAAAACAAACGTTGCTGAGCACCTGTGTCGGTTTGTTGGTCTCATGCAGGAACTACGTCACCGTTTGCAGAGGAGTTGGATTCAGACCTGAGGCTGGACTCTGCAGACCTGCAGATTAAGCAGTTAACTGCTTTGTTATCAGACTGCATGTAATCACCAACTCGATCCCATTCAGCTGCAAACTGAACCTGATCCCTGTCTTTGAAGAAGTGCTGTTTGGGAGGGGCAGCCCCAGCCAATCAGAGGGAAACTTTCTTGGAAGGGGGAGGAGCTAGAATGGCTAGTTTTGAACGATGCTTAGCCTCAGGGGTTGCAGTGGGGCTCAGCATAAGAAGGAGGTGTGACTCATGCAAAGCTACCCTCAAAGAGCCCAAAAATCAAAATATGGCGGGTGAACTTCAGCTCAGTTTGTGGGTTAATTAATAGGTTAATTGATTAATCCAAACTGCCCATAGGTGTGAATATGAGCACGAATGGTTGTCTGTCCCTGTGTGTTGGCCCTGCGACAGACTGGCGACCTGTCCAGGGTGTGCCCCGCCTCTCGCCCTATGACAGCTGGGATAGGCTCCAGCGCCCCCGCGACCCTGGAAAGGATAAGTGGAAGCAAATGGATGGGGAATTTCAGCTTCTCTGCTGCTGTGTTGGCAGAGAAGCTGAAATTCACCAGCCGTATTTTGATTTTTGGGCTCTTTGAGGGTAGCTTTGCATGAGTCACACCTCCTTATGCTGAGCCCCACTGCAACCCCTGAGGCTAAGCATCGTTCAAAACTAGCCATCCTAGTTAAAAAAATAAAAAAATTAAAATAACATGACACAGTTTACTGGACAGAGGTCAGTTTGATTTGAAGGCTCTGCAGTCACAATCTGCACCGATGGTGCTTTCCTTTCATGAAGGATGCTCCAGTCTCCACGAGTGCTAAGAAGGAGTTAATAAAGGAAGCACTTAAGCACCTTTCCTTAGGTTTAGTTCTGATTGTGGCTGCAGACTCTTCCACTTCACCTTCCCAGTGAGGAACCTGCTTAAGGACTCTGTTACAGTACCGAGCACGGCCACACGGGGGCACAGCAGGACAAAGTGCTTTAAACTATTTCTCCTACCGCGTTAATCCATCTCATTCAGCTCCCTGATTCACTCCAACAGCAACAAATTAAACAAACTGGCTTAATTTAACTCTGCTCTGCTTTTCTAACCCGTCCATTAAAGACTAAACACTGTTCACACATCATGAAGCAGCAGGACTGAAATGTGCTGAGCAGGTGTGGCGGTCACGCTGCAGCGCGCTCGTTATGAGCAGCAAAAGATAAAACTGAGTTCATCTGCAGAGCAGCAAACAGCTCGGTCTATTCATAGCTCTGCAGTGAAACCTGAGGCGCACACACACACACACACACACACACACACACACACACACACACACACACTTTAGAGTCACCGATTAACCAAAACTGAGAGGAAGCCGATATAGCCATGGGGAAGCGCTCGCTCCACACCGAGGCAGGTTCTAACCCTTGAACCTCCTGCGATGGTGCTAACCGCTGCACCATTGTGCCGCTCCTGCAGCTATGACCTCAAGGACGACAGAAGTTCTGATTTTTGTGGTTTTAAATTCGAGCTGAAAGGCGACGGAGGAAGACAGCGTGAAGATCAGACGCCCCGAGGACAGCTGCTGCCTGTGCCAACAAATTTAACCTCCACCTGCACCATTCAGAGCAGCAAATACAGCTATTATTAACCCAGATCAAACGCAATACGCGCGCACACAAACACAGCCAACATCACAGAGCGACAGAGTGCACACATGGTGTCACTGACATGAGAAGAACAAACTGAAACGAGCAGGTTTACGAGGTAAAAAGACGAACGCTGCTCATGCTTTGATACTTGGACTCCACCAGGGCAGCTTTGCATCATTCAGAGTTCACAATAATCCTTCTTTATCTCGTAATGAGTCTTTGTGCAGCCCCTCAGTTCAATCAGAAACAAGCAGTTTTAGCTCCTCCTCCTTTAAGCAAATTGGCTGCCCCTTAAAAATAGCAAGTAGGTGGAGCTTCTGCGCCTGAGATGACTGCATCACGAATAACTCGTTAGGCCAGGACTCTGCAGACTATTCACACCTACAGGCCAGTGGACACTCTGGAGACGCTGGTTTGGGGGCGGAGTCAAGGAGGCCAATCGAGGAGGGGCCTAAGGGTACATCTTTTCATCTTAAAATGCTGTGATTGCAGCCATTCCCCAACTCTCTGTGAATGGGACTCATGACCATTGAGATTTTGGTCACATCGCACAGCCCTACTTGCTGTCACGTCCATAATTTAAAATGATTAAAATTACTTTGATAAATATAAATGTATATTATTGTGAAAAAAACAGGAAGAAGCTTTTTTGTTTTTATCAAGAGTAAATCTGGGTCAACATCCAGCTTCCTACCATCATCCAGCGTGATCTCCTGGAGGCCTAAAGATCCCGGAGGCGGCAGCTCCTCCGGCTCCTGCTTGATGATGAGCGCCTCCCCCGGCCCGGCCAGCACAGAGTCCTTCTGGGGGTCGGCGGGTGTCACAAAGGTACTCCTGGGACTCAGAGACAGGTCCCTCTGAGATCCACCAGGGGAGGAGTGTGGAGGGACGGAGAAGGTCTGAAGCGGGACAGAAGCGGCTGGAGGAGGAATCGTGGCGATCTGAGGAACCATGACGGAGGTCTGAAGGGGAATCAAGGTGGTCTGCGAAGGCAAGGAGACTTGGAGCGGGACCGAGGACGTCTGAGGATACATTAAAGGGGTCTGAAGGGGAGCAGAGGAGTGAGGATGGTGGAGATGGGGGTTGCTTTGGGGACCACACTGCACCAGGAGGTCACAGGAACCATAGTACGCCACGTCAGGACTGAGCGTGCCGTTGCGCGAGGCCGTCAAGCTGAAGCCAGGTGGATTCTGGGAGATGTGGTCTGGCTCCCAGCGTTCCTGCTTGACTGTGTTGACAGCGGGAGGAACGTGGTGTCTGACTGCAGGCAGGTAGGTGAAGCTCTGCGTCACACTTTTCCTTCTCTTCCCGTTAGTGACGTAGAACTGGACCTGGACCGGCGACGTCGCCTTCTTATTGTACACAGGAAGCTCCACCACGATGCTGGACTGGAACACACACACACACACACACACACACACTTTTATAAAACATGAGCATTTGTTGCTTTTCTGCTTTACATACTAATGCATTTTGTATTCTGGGCGTTTGTAAATGATGTGGTTTAACACATGCGCTGCGCTCTGATCTGCAGCCACACGGAGGCTCTGAGCGCGTCAGCAAATCGCACTACGAAAAAGGGGAAACAGTATTTATATGAATGTCTGAAATTTATCGTGGTAACGCCGGAGGTTTCAGCAAGATCTTGTAACTTCCTCTTTCCACTTCCTATAAAGGGAATCTTGGTCGCCGTCTTAAGAGACGTTCAAACGCCCAGAAAAAAAACCTGAGCAAA